ACAAAGAATCGAGAAGGACCAAAGCCGAGAATGTCGAGGTTTTGGTCATTTCCAATATGAATGTGCTAATCTTAAAAAGAAGAGCAAGTCACTGAAGGCAACGTGGGAAGATTCAGATGACGAGGGAATGGAAGAACCTTCATCACACACGAGTAATATGGAAATTTGTTCCTCAGTGAGGAAGTTCATATGGTTCACCACTTTTCATGCCACGACAAAGTTTGAAGAGAGCATGGAAGAATCTGAAATATCAGAGGATGAAGCAGATTGGAACATATGTATTGATCCATTTCACTTGCTGAATATGGAGAAATGCGCACAAGAATCTGAGGCTATGAAGAAACTTCAAAGTGAGGTTCAGAAACTGACAAAGGCCAAATAGGTTGTTGATTGAACAAGCCTCCTCCTCTCTTACTTATCAAAAAGAGAATGAATTGGATACATTAAAGGCTCGAACCTTCATTCTTGAGAGGAGCGTTAAACTCTCTAAACAAGATGGGTTAGAGAAGTCTCAGACTATTGAATGTCTGAGGTCTGAACTGTTCTCAACTCAAAAACTGCTTGCTGAGAGAAACAAAGAAATCTTAAAGCTCATAAATGGAGTTAGCTGAATCATGAACGAACATGCAAGTATGCAAAACAAGCTATGTGTGAACTCAGCTGAACTGGAACGCACTATTGAGGCTGTTAGGAAACTGAATAAAGGGAAAGCTGATCTAAATGAGCTTCTCTCCATGGGAAGGCAGTATGGAGACCTCACCGGGCTGCGGTACACAGGCAAGGTTGAAAGTTCTGAACATCCTTCCGAAGTTTCAAACAAAACCAAGCATACTGGTCTTGGATTTTCTGACAAGTCTTGTGTTGAAGGTTCAAGTATTCATGGAAAACCTTCTCGGGACTTGTATGGCAGGTTTGTGAAAATCATTGTAAGTAAACCTCCTTTGCCTAAAAACTCACTGAACGTTCATGCACCAAACCAAGTATCTGTAAGTAAATCTCTTCGTAATTTTGTACCCATCTGTCATTACTGTGGAATCACTGGTCACATCAGACCCAAATTCTACAAGATGCAGCATGATCCTTTTTTCGGTAAAGTGGTTAACTGGAGTCACTCAGGTGTTCCAGTGAACGTTCATGCTGTGAATTCCCATAAAAAGCTTACAAAAAATCGACAAGTATGGATTGCAAAGAATCTTTTTAAATGTTTTGCTTCAGTACTGTCTCTTAGAACCTCACTTGAATGGAAATGGTAGCTTGATAGTGGGTGTTCAAGCCATATGACTGGTGAACTAGCATACTTGTCGAATGTCAAAACTAGTTCAATTGGGGAAGTCACATTTGGCGATAGTGCGAGCAATAGAGTGATTGGAACTGGTTGTTTGAGTTTGGGTGATTTACCTAGACTAGATGATGTGTTACTTGTGAATGATTTGAAGGCTAACCTCTTAAGTGTAAGTCTACTATGTGACCAAGGTCTTAGTGTCAGTATCTTTCATGATAAGTGTTATGTGAAAAACAATGAAGGTACATGTGTGATCACTGGATCTCGATCAACTGACAATTGCTATCTTGTTGATTTTAATGAAAAATATTTGCAAGCAACTGTTAGTGAATTTGAAATCTGTCATCAATGCTTAGGTCACATTTGATATTCTCACTTGGTCAATATCTCAAATCCAGGTGTGGTTCGCGGAGTTCCAAAGATTGTCATGAAGAAACTGCCTATTTGTGAACCGTGTCAACTTGGAAAGCAGACGTGAGCATCACACAAAAGCTTGAACCATATTGCATCAAAGAAAATCCTAGAGTTGCTTCACATGGACTTGATGGGACCAGTTCAGATTGAGAGCTATCAAGGTAAGAAGTATATTTTTGTGTGTGTATATGACTTCTATCGCTACACTTGGGTTGAATTTTTACGTGAGAAATCTGATACCTTCATTGCCTTTAAAACCCTCTGTCTAAAACTTGAAAATGAAAAGGGATTTCCTCTAACCAGAATTAAGAGTGATCATGGCCGTGAATTTGAGAATAGTGAATTTTCGAATTTTTGTAATTCTCACGGTAATTTTCATGAGTTTTCTGCTCCTAAAACACCCCAACAAAATGGAGTTGTTGAAAGAAAGAATCGTACTCTTCAAGAAATGGAAAGGGTGATATTGAATTCCAAGAAAATCTTTCATAGATGGTGGGCAGAGGCTGTCAACACGGTGTGCTACCTTGTGAACAGAGTGTACCTTCGTCGAGGTATGGGGTTGACGTCTTATGAACTCTGGAAAGGTAAGAGTCCCAACCTTAGCCATCTTCATGTATTTGGGTGCAAATGCTTTATCTATAATGATCGTGAACAACTTGGAAAATTTGATGCTAAAAGTGATGTTGGATTCTTTCTTGGATATTCTAATAACAGTCGAGCATACTGTGTTTACAACACAAGTACCTCCACTGTTATAGAATCCATGAATGTAACATTTGATGAGAAAACCCCCAATGTTGATTCATCTATGTCTATTGACTTGCTTGAAAGTGTTGTTAGTAAACAGGATACCCAAATTGAAACCTCGAACCTTGGCAAAGAAAGTGAGAATGAAGAAGGTTCATGTGAATCGGCTGGCTCACCGGGAATTTAGACGGAATACAATGTTCCCACCACTGGAAATCAAACTGAACCAAAATGGGATCCACCCTTAAAGATTCAAAAAGCTCATCCATCCGAACTGGTTATTGAAGATTTGAACGAGAGGGTAACCAGGAACTCAAAAACCTCAACTAAAGAACTCATGGGCATCTCTCACTTTGCATGCTACACTTCCTTGATAGAACCCAAGAATGCAAAGGAGGCACTAAAGGATGAATGTCGGATCTCAGCCATGCAAGAAGAATTGGAGCAATTTAGTCGAAATGATGTCTGGGAACTTGTTCCTGAACCTTCGTCGGGAAATGTTATCGGAATTAAATGGATCTTCAAAAACAAAACCGATCAGTTTGGTAATGTGACTCGCAATAAAGCCAGATTGGTTGCACAAGGCTACACTCAGACTCAAGGAACCTTTGCTCCAGTTGCAAGGTTAGAATTGGTACGTATATTTTTATCAATTGCTTGTCTAATGAAGTTCATTGTCTACCAGACGGACATAAAGTCGGCTTTTCTGAATGGAATATTGCACGAAGAAGCTTATGTGAAGTAGTCGGCTCTTTTCAAAGACCCCAGTAACCCTAATCATGTCTATAGGCTAAAAAAGGCACTATATGGTCTGAAACAAGCAGCTCGTGCTTGGTATGAAAGACTTACGATGTACCTTCTGGAGAAAGGATTCAAGCGAGAGAGAGTCGATCAGACATTCTTTCCCCTGAAAACCAATACTGATTTGTTGGTGGTTCAAATCTATGTAGATGACATCATATTCGGGTCAACCTCGAAGAAACTGGTTAATCACTTTGTCGATCTTATGTCTTCAGAATTGGAAATGAGTCTGGTAGGTGAACTTTCATACTTTCTCGGTCTTCACGTGAAACAAGGTAAAGATGGTATCTTTTTGCATCAAAGTAAATATGCCAGAAACCTTGTTAAAAAGTTTGGTCTTGAGAATTCTAAAAACCTTCAAACCCCTATGGGCACTCATGTAAAAGTGACTAAGGATGATGAAGGTACATCTGTAGATCAAACTCTTTATAGAAGTATGATTGGTAGTCTTCTGTATCTTACTGCCAGTAGACCTGATATTTGCTTTAGTGTTGGACTATATGCCAGGTATCAGTCTGCTCCTAAAGAATCCCATATGAAGATAGTCAAGCACATCATCAAGTACGTTGGAGGTACATCTGACTATGGGTTATTTTATTCTTCTGATACGAACCTACATCTTGTAGGTTACTGCGATGCAGACTGGGCTGAAAATCTTGACGATAGGAAAAGTACCTCTGGCGGTTGTTTCTATATAGGATCTAACCTGGTCTCATGGTTTTGCAAGAAACAAAACTTCATCTCCCTATCTACAGCCGAAGTTGAGTACATTGCCGTGGGAAGCGTTGCTCTCAGTTAGTTTGGATGAAGCAAATCCTCTCTGAGTATGGTATGGAGGTACATTCTGCTCAACTTTTCTGTGATAACACCAGCGCAATAAATATTTCAAAAAATCCCGTCCAACATTCACGTACCAAACATATTGACATACGCTATCACGTTATTCGTAATCTGGTGGAAGATGAAACTATTGTGGTGGATCATGTACCTATAGATGACCAGCTTGCTGACATTTTTACAAAGGCACTTGATTCAAAACGCTTTTTGTCACTAAGGAAATCCTTAGGAATGTGTGCTATATAATATCTATGCATTTGTGTCTTTTGTATCTGTGTATATATATATACACATATATATATATATATATATATGATCACGCTCCGGTGACCATAGTGTTAGTGAAAGAAATAAGAATACATCGTAACCCTTAGATCACATGATCTAAGGGTTTATATAAAAGTAAAAAATATACCTTCATTAAGGACATTGTAGTAATTTTTCACACTACAATCAAACAGATGGGCCCTACTACACATTAAATACCTGCAACCTAACCCACCTACCAACAAACTGCCCACACCACCCCGACCCCACCCCACCTCACCCCACCCCAGCAGGTCATCTCTCTCACACAAATAACACGCGCGCACACACACAAATCACATACACAGACACAGACACACACACACACGACCACCGCCGTTGGACGCACCCCCGCCACCATACCACCGCCGCCTGAGCATCCCTGCTGCCAACGGAGCATCCCTGTCGTCGCCGGAACACCCCTGCCGCCATCAGAGCGTCCCACGCTCTATCTCTCTCTCTCCAAAAGGCCACCTTTGCCTTCCTTTGGCCGCCGACACTTGTCTCCGGTTGCAATCACTTCGCGGCGGCCGCGAAGGCCACATCCCTCTCCGAACATCGGCTAGACTCACTCTGCGGTGGTTCTATTTTATCGAGGTGTCCCGGATCTTACGCCATCGACTTCGTTGCCAGCTTTGAGGAATGGCAGCACCCCGTTGAAAATCAGTCGTCTTTTTGGGGCAAGACAGTAGATCGGTCGTCGGCCGCCGGGAGACGGTTGAAAAAACATTTTCTCACGGGACCTATTTGTTGAGATCGCTCGGCTTGAAGATCTGAAATTGAATTGTGGGTTGGGCCTTTGTTGAGAATTAGATTAAGTTTAGGCCTTATTTGCAATTTAATAATTTAATTATATTTCAATTTAACCCCATGGGTCAAATATGTAAATATTAAAAGTTAATAGAAATGGTTTTTCATATATTTTGTTATTGATATATATATATATATGTTAAATAACTAATAAATTATTAAATAATAATAATATAAAATATTAAAATAATTTATAATAGTAAATATATTTTATAATAAAAATAATAAATGAAAATATATTTTAATTATTTAGGTTAATTAGATGTAAAATTATATCTATTAAAACTAGTTTTCGGATACACATAGGGAAATATAAATTAGTGTACTTTATATAACGGAATATTGCACTTTATAAAATAACACGTCGAACTTTATAAAACAACAGATTGCACTTTATAACCACACTCCACAATGAATGTCAATAACTCTCGCCAAAATATTACGCAATATAAATATAAATATAAATTGTAATTTATAAAAGTTTAATAAATGTACATTAATAATAAAATGGATTGTGTACAGAAAAAAATATAATGCAATGGATTGCACATTAATAATACACGGACTGCACATTATTGTTACACAAACTGCACATTAATATTTTCATATACATGTTTTTTCATACATACGTATATTATATATGTTCAACAAAAAATAATATAAAATGTTGAATAAAAATGTTAATATACTAAATATATTTTCATAATATAAATAATAAATCATTTTAAACATTTAAGATAATTCGGTTAACCGAAAGAACCAGTTATTTCAGTTTGAATTTAGTTTGGTTTGGAAAAAAATTATAAAAAAATATATGATATGCAAGTGCACAATAATGTTATACGAATTGCACATTAATTCTTACCAGAATGCACAATACCGACCGAACTAAAATTTTCGGTTCAAAACTTTATATTTCGGTTTAATTATATATTTTTACTCTTATAACATCGGTCATTTTAGTTTTCCATACTTTATTTTTTAAAATAATTGATATAACCGAACGACCTAACTATATAAAGAAATATTATTTTTTGCTATGTTTATATATAAAAACATATTATTCTTTCTTTAACTATAAAATATTAAAAATACTAAATATGATTTTGTAATACAAGTAATATATTATTTCGATTATTTGATTAGTTTGACTAACGACTGAATAAACCATTTAATTTGGTTCGATTTAAATTGAGTTTGGGACAAAAGTTGAGTTGGTCAGACTGCACAATAGCGACCAAGACCAAGCACAATATTGTTAGACGAATTGCACATTAAATAAAAATAGATTGCACAATAGCGACAGATACCGGCAAAACTAAACTTATCGGCTCGATTATTTGTTGTTACTTTTAAAGTATATGTTAATTCAATTCATTGTCGGCTTTATTTTTTAATAGGATTAAAATAGTCAAACTGCATGAAATGTATTACTTTATTATTATTATTATTATTATAATTATTATTATTATTTGTTTTTACTTTTAAATAAAAGTAGATTGCACAATAATGTTATACGACTTGCACATTAATGACTATCAAATTGCATATTAGCGACCGAAATAAAAAAAACTTGAAATAAGAAAAAAAAGAATATAAATTACTAAATAAATGTATAAAAAATCGCAAAATACCAACACCAACCAATTAACAATATTGAGCATATATTGACCAAATTTCTAAAATATCAACGCCAACCGGATACACTTTTAATATGTTTGTATATAATTTCGACCCATGTATTACATGTTTAAAATGTTCAATCATTTCTTTTTTTTTTCAAAAGTTCGAATCAACTATTTCGGTTTTGAAATTTTGGGGTAGAACATACCGATGAATAATATTATACATTCCATAACTTTTTTGAACTTTTAATGGTGCAAATACACTCATTATATTATGTATTGTATTGAACATTATTGTACAAGTCACGTATCATTATTGTGAATGAATTGAACTTTTATTAAATTTCAAATTTGCCTAACATACTAATCTACAGGGGTCTCGGTTAGCTACTGACTGGTAGCCAGAACAGACCGGCCTCCTCGATGACGACAGTGACCTAACCAACGCGTTCCACCATTACCAGGTCTTGGGGAGTGAGAGATCTACTTCCACCAGCCGAACTGAACTCCAAAGATGCGAACGAAGGACTGACTGTGAAATTGCCCGGTCTTTTAAAGACATTTCTGATTCCGGGGAAACGAGAGTGCCAGTGATGAGAGATTCGATCTAAGCGGCAGCTTCAAATAAAGGACCAGGGAATTCTTCAACTTGAACAGATTGAAGAGATTTCGCTGAGGTAGTAGTCTCAGACTTTTCTTCCTGTGAATTAAGATCATACCTAACATCTTTTTTAAAATGCTTTTTTTTATTAGTATATATATTAAAATATAATTAACTACACTTAAGTCCCTATAAGTTGTCAAATTTACAAAAACAAAAAACCCACAATTCATGAAATTGTAAATCTCCCACTTGCAGCCTTCATATTTCTCAAATTCTAAGAGCATCTCCAATGTTATGGTGTTGAAAGGCAATAATTTTTAACACATGTCAATTGATGATTGTAATGTTAATCCACATAAGAATAATGTTAAAAGACTAAAAATTTGAATCAAACTAGTATCTCCAATGCACCAATTTGATAAGAATTTATTTGTATAGGTGGACCAATTATAATAATTCATTAATACAAGAATAATAAAAAATTAAACCAAATATAAAGTGAATTAATGAGTCATCATGTTTAACATGGTGTTAGATATTAGAAAGTGAGTTCAACATTGTTAACATTAAATGCCATCCACATCATCATGAAAGAGCTAATGACAAGATGCATTGGAGAATAAATTAGTAATAAACTTTCAAAAGTTGATGATATGGATAATTTTTTGCAATGTCAAAAGTCACATTGGAGATGCTCTAAGCAGTAGCTGCCAGCGCCATCATCAATTTCGAGACATCTCCCTCCTTGACAAGAATTCAGCCGCCGGTCACCCCCAATTTTGCCGCGGCCCGCTCTCAGATTCGGGTCGGATGTTAGCCAGCGAAAGAGAGCTCTTAAATTCCGGTCGGGGAAGATTAACTGTAAGGAAACGTCGACAAACATCACCTTCGCGTCTTCGGCGGCATCTGTTCAGGACGTCGCTGACAGGGCCATGAACGGCCTGCGGCATTGCCGGCGCATCCGTGACGTGTTGTTGGGGACCGATCGTGGCGGAGACGACGTCTCCGGCGAATCTATGCCGTGATGTTGTGGACCTGGCGGCGAGACGACGTATGTGCTGGAGGAGACGAGGGCCAGTGATGGTGGTAGAAATCCGGCGCTATTTTTGGGCGACATGTTGCTTTAGTAATGGGGAGATGGGGAACAATGTGGTTTTGTCCGGCGGTGTCAGAGATGTCAAGAGGCTAATCAGTTGTTGGCGCGGCAGCGATGGTGGCGGTGGTCCGGCGGTCCGACGAGTGAGTTGTGTGTGTGTGTGTGTGTGTTTGATGGAGAAGATGAATGAGGGGTAGGTGGGGTGTCCGTCACTTATATTGATGTTAATTATTAATGTGTAATGGTGGGTCCCACAATGTTGTTGGGTTTGAATTAAATGTCCAAACTACTCGTAATTATTGGTCAAATACACATATTGGACCACAATATGATCATAATTACCAAATTGCCATTAATGATTGACCATAATTTGACTTCATCATACCCATTAATATGATTGATCCCATGGTCCAGATTCATTCTTATTTCTTTCAGTATCTACCATTCTCATATGATCCTAATTCTATATATATATATATATATATATATATATATATATATATATATTGCCGGTTAATTATTTTCATTTGTCCCGATCGCCATACGTATGAACCGAGCCTTTTATTTGCTAAGTTCGAACCTAAGGAGCACCTGCCCGATGCCACTCGCATCAGCCCGCGACCCGTACCCCGAACCCGCACCTCGGCCTAGAACCGCACCCACGAACTTGTAATATATGCATATATGTATTATTCTCTCCCTCCCCTTATTTTCTTCGTTCACGCCGCATAAGCCATCAGAAAAGAAAAACTCTCTTCCCCGTCGATCCTGATCATCGCCAAACCCTCTCACCACTCACCTCCATCGTCACGCATCATCGTCACCACCATATTTACCAGCCTCCGATCACCCTTCCTCATCGTCGTGCCCAGTGGTTCGTGAGATTCCCTAGCCGCGCGAGAGATCTGTAATGCTCCATTTATTAGTGGTTTATTATTATTATTATTATTATTATTATTATTATTATCATTGATGTTTATTATTATTGTGATGTTATTAATATTAATATTGAGTGCCTAATATTAATTTGCCTAAATGTGATTAAATGATAAATTGTCTAATTGTCTAAATAATTTTGTGATTAATTATTAAATGCGTATTAATATATGTAGAATATATTTATTATTCGGTTTATTTTAACATGCGTTTGAGTTTATATCGAGCCCGAGAATATTCGCGCGAATCGAGTCATTTTATTTTGGCAAAATAAAATCGAGAGTTTGAGCCCGAGAGAACCGTATGTATTGGACCGGTGCCCCGGCCCTGTAATGCCCCGTTTATTTGTGGATTATTTGGGATTTATTATTATTATTTTTATTGCTATTATTATTGTTATTATTAATTGGTGATAATATTTATATTTTATTTTATTGAATGCCATTATGTTTATTTATTTGTCAAATGTGATTAAATGCTAATTGTTAAATTTGTGTAATTGTTTAATTGATTTTGTGATTAATTAAATTTTTAATATGAATAAATGTGTATGTGATAATGTGTAAAATATATATATTTATTTTTCGCTTATTTTTATCGCGCGTTTGCATTCGAAATCGAGCCCGATAATTTTCGTTGGAACTATTTTGGCCCGAATA